CGCGCCGGCGGGGGCGGGGGGCACCGGGAGCCTCCCCGGGGCTGCTGCGGCTCCTCTGCGGCCGCCCCGGCCCGGGGGGGCGGGACCGCCCTCGAGGTGCGCGGGGCTCCCGCGCCGGGCGGCACGAGCTGCAGCCCGACGGGCCCGGCCGCTCGGAGCGGGGCAGGTCTCGGGGCCACCAAGTCTCGGTGCTCAGGGGGACGCGCGACCCAGTGCCGGGGGCGCCGCTGCCCCGTCCCACGCCCCGAGGCAGCCCCTGCCACCCCACAGAAGTTTCCAGGGCTCTCAGGACACCCTGCAGCGTGGGAGCGCGGGGCAGGGCAAAGCGGGACGGCCTCATCCCTCACTTGTCCTTTCCCTCTGKTTTTTCCCGACCTTTCCCCTTTTATCCTAGTTCTTAACCCCTATACACGTTATACATCACTAGCGGTTCACCAGCCTAGCATCTCCACCAGCTCCAAGGCAGTTTTGCTAGTGCACAAAGTTGTGCAGAGAGCACTCTGAAGGAAATTACATATACATATAAATAAATATWTATATAAATCCCCACTTGTAGCTAGTGTTCAGCAGGAAGATGTAAAGATGTATAAGCAAATCATCCATACCCAAAGCAGCAGCAGTGGTTCAGGGCGATGGAATAAGTGCCAAGTCTCTATACATAGCTGCCCAGGGGGATGTTTCTCCGTCCTTGAAGACCCAGGCAAGGCAGGATCCTAAAGCCGAGCTCTGCACCTAGTAATAAATAAAAATCTTGATAAATCTCTGCAGTTAAAGTTACTTTTTTTTTTTTCCCCAGTACTATAAACTTGCCTTAAAAAGCAACTAGAAAAAGAGAAAATTCTACAAAATTCCATCTTTCTAGGCTAAATCAGTTGAGTCTCAAATCTGAGTTTTCTAAAAACTTAATTTAGTAAAAATAAAGCACTGTATATAGAAGCCACCTTGGGAGCACTAATGCTGAAACAGTACTGCCCCATGATTTGTGAAACAAGCTTGGAAAAAGAAGAAACTCATTTTGTTGATTGAGAGAGAGATAGATTGGGGATTTAAAAGTGTTTATCACCTGAAAATTCTCATACCAGATAACTTAGAAAAAAATAGCCTGAAATTGAAAGGACTGCATTTTGCAAAGCTCCTTAGAGTTTTTAGAATTGGACACGGTCATAGACAAGTAAATTGGAAGATTTTAAAGAGATCAGCTAGTCCAACTGCTTGAATTAAGGCGCAAATAAGTGAACATAAACCAACTATCCCTAACAAATGTTTGCTTGCAGATGCTGTTTTCAGAGTTGTGCCCTCTAATTATCACTGAATTTATTACTAAATAAATTCTATTCCATGTAGTATGAAACTCAGAATTATGTTCCCACTGCTGAACGAGAGGCTTTTAAAAATTGCTCACCACCTTGGGAAAGGTTATTTTTATTTATTTTTCACAGGACTTCTCAAGCTACAGTTCATATGTGGGAGGAGTTGCAGAACATCTCAGAGCAGCTTTCTGCTTTTAATATTAAGCTGCATCCCTCTTGCTTGCTGCTGGGCTATTTAGGCATGACTGTTCCTCTCCTGCTCACTTTATTGCTCGTGGATCTTCACATGACAAAACAAGGCCATGAGAGCTACCAGGGGACTCTTTTGTCTAAAACTGAAGACACGTGCAAGAAAGCATGAGGTCAAAAAGAGGCCCTCCTAACACATCTTTTCTCTCTGTCCTTAGAGTATATGGKATTTTTCCTCTGATCTCCTATTCCTCAAACATGTAACTAGTCTGATGCTATTCTGGCTCCTTTATTAGGAGTTCTAGCTCCAGTGGTGGATATAAGTCATGCAGCATCAGTAAGGAGAGAGAATACTTTGTTAGATTATGTTCATTGGTTAAATAATGTTACCTCTCTCCAGAAACTGTGCACTAGTACTTTTCAGGGTGATTTCAGTTCAATTCRCATCATACTGTTATAATGGAAAATTAAGTACAACACAACTCAATTTCAAGAGCTTAAAATTACCATGTGTAGGAAAAAAATATTTCTTCATACTAAATGCCATTGTGACACAGCTGATGCTCAACACCTCAACAGCTGCCATTATACAATGGCTTAGATATCAATCCAACAGATCAAGCAGTTTTTTGACTGAAATTGAACAAGTTTCAAAAAAATAGTTATTATGCTTATTCCACTCATCCATCCGAATAGAACAGACATAAATGGCTCCTTACAGACTTTCGTGCCCAAGACTGAAAAGGCTGATATCACAAAACTCACCACAAAGGGCCATCAAACACCCATTCTGCAGCATTCCCAGCTGGCACACAGCTCAGCTCTGAAAAACCTCTGGATGGGGGCTTGGAAGAAGGAACATACCTCCCTTCATTGCTGGGTTATGTGACAGTACATGGCTAAGGTTGAGCTCCATCATAATCCAGGCAATACTAGAACATTTTTGCATACTGAACAGTATTTCTATATTTCAGAAATCACAGCTCAGAGTTACCACCAYTTGGAATATAGCCTTTTTTACTTGCTATTGTTTTTCCAGTGATTTCTTTTAGAATTAAGGATTTTCCATTTAATATTTACTGACTCTTAAGAATTACCAGCCAATTATAGCCCCTAATTAAAGACCTTCCTTTTGATATTTACTGACTATAACATACATTAGGCAATTATACTCTCTAAAGACTGTAATCTGTCTTCTAATTATGAAAGCATGTGCTATCCTGTAAATAAGGCTAGAATCAGCTCAGTATGAAAAAAAAGGAGGCTTTAGATATCATTTCAAACTATTTAGTTACTGAAATGGAATTTTCTGTGCCTGCCAAAATGAATCCCATTCAATGTGATGCAACAGGTGTTGGAATTCCAGCAGCCGCCTGCAAGCCACATCTGGTAATGGTTAGGAGTTTAAAGGAAGTTCTGTAAGAACTGCCTATGTATAAAAACTATTCATCAGTCAAATCTATGGACCATATTCAGCCACCACTTGCACTGCGCATAGTTCAGATTTTTATGTCGTTTACAAAAAAAATGTAATTCTGCTTCTCATGAAATTTTAGGAATCTCAGGCACTTGTCCAGGTCGAAAGTGTGTGTGGGATTCATGTGGCCATACTGGTGTGTCAGTGAGGGGAGGGAGAGCTTGTAGTTATAGAACAAGGTGTGAATACATCTAAATTGCAGAAATAGGCAACATATACATTAGATCTATTCAGAACCATCCTCACTTTTCTCTTGAGAATGCTTGCCCATGTCCCCTCTACCAGCAAATAAATTAAAATACTCGTGCAACAGTTATTAGACTGAAACTGGTCAATCAGTAATATTTAACACTATGTTCTAATCCTTGAGCACTGATATTCCCAGTTGCACCTTTTCTTTTGCCYCCTTCACACCCCTTCCTCCCCCAACACATCTGAATCAATGAAATTACTCAAAAGAATCAATTGATCAGATCATACTCTTAATTTATCCATGTTTGTCCTAATCCCAGGGCACTGCCTCAGCATGAGTGTTATCACTGTATCTTGTCACCAGGATGAAGTGACACTCATTTAAAGAACACTTTAAATTGCACACTTGCACATATTATAATGAACAAAAGGGGGTGCAATAAAAACAGAGCTATTCATGACTTATTCCTGCTGCTAAATCCCGTACTTACTAGATTTCAACAGAAGGTAGGTAAGAAAGTGGGACAAGCAGTTCACAGTGCGCTTCAGGGAAGCCACAACCATCATTTCCTCTCCCTCTCAATGGGAAAAAAAAAGTATCAGTCATTCCATACTGTGGGATAAGAATAAAGTCTTAGTTAATTTTTACTGTACTACATTCGCAGAAAAAACTTGATAATTTTATTCTTTTTTTGTGTGTTCTTATCACAGTCGCTTTTCTGTTGGTCAGAGATATCCAACATAGAAATTACTAACTGCAAAGTAAGTGTCCTACTGGCTTTACCACAATGCTCAAGCTCACCAGCAACGAGGATAGTTTTGTCTTTTTACAGATACTACAACATAGACTCTGATAGACTGGCAGAAACAAGAGTAAACCCATCTGCTGGGAACACACACATCTCTAGATAAAAATAAAGATTAAAGAGGGCACTCAAAAATATAATTTGAGCAGGAAATAACAATATCAAGAATGCAAGTATTATAAAGGTCTTTCAAAAATGTGTAGGTCATCTACAGGAGAAACTACTTTCATCGTAATACTGTATTTTAAATCCTTACCAAATGACTGAAATAATACTTAGAAACAATTAATACAGGCAGATACTCATTAGGAATAGGAATGTGCTTAAACAGAAGCAACCAACTGCCATTTTGATATTTAAGAAATTGCTTTTTAGCTTTCTTCTACTGTAATTACGTGTAACTTATTACAGGCTCCACATATGACAGATGTAATGGAAGTTATACCTGGTCTTCACATTTGGTGGACGTTTCATGCACAAATTATACAAAAGCTAGAGAGGTTGTGGAGTCTCTACTCAGAATTATTCAAAACTCAGCTGGACAACACCTTAATATCCACTTATCCAATAATACTAAATATCCAATTTAATAARTTAAATTGCTTAAAACAAGAAATGACGTTTGGGTATGACACTGACCATCTCCGACTATATGAGCCAGAAGGTTGCTGTCTAAGAGGCCAATTGTTTACTTAACATTTAATGTTTAAAATCTTGAAATAGCTGGAAATGGGATAAATCTTGTACATACACAGGAAAAGGAAAATGATAGGTCTTGCTGATCCATTAACACAGAAATATTTTAAAAGAATCTGATGAGCAGCATTTGAGGCTATTCTGCAAGCCAAATCCTCCAGTCTTATGCTTGCTTTACAGACCACACACAAACACGGCAGAAGAAACAATCCAAGATTATTTCTGAGTGTTGAACAGGAATGCTCACATAATCACTGGAAATGCTCTTAATTGGTGTAGCTCAGTGGTGCAATTCAGAGATCCTCTGCCTCYGTGGAACTCTTTTCATGTCCTGGCAATCACAGYCCAGCCAGAACTTTGTTTATCATGYTCTCTATGAGTTTCCGGATGTCCAACAAAGTAGTATTTACTACAAGGCCGGGGAAACTGCAGTAATCCAGTGAGTTCTCATTAGCCTAAAACGCAGAAACATCTGCTGGGGTCAGGAGCTGCTTACTTGCTGTTGATGAGCAAAGAACCAGCTCCATTTGCAGCGCATGTGAACAAAGAATGAAAGTGTTGGGGGCTGGTGGTACAGAGACAAACAGGCTTCAATTATCTCTGCACTGCAGCTCCTGTAGAGCAACCAGGGATGCTCCCTTATGTTGACCCCTGATGACCCTATCACAAGCAACACAGGAATTTCATCCAAGAAAAACCACCACACACTTTTCCTCAGTCCTTCTGAGCTGATGTCAAAACAGGCAACACCAGAGTAACCCAGATAAAGCAGGAAGACCATCCTGAGAGATACAGGAATGCAAACAGGGCAATTTGTACAACACAAGTGGGTTTTAAATCATCTTTGCCAGTGATCTTCTCAACAACTAATAACAGTTTTGCAGCAGATAAATCTCTGTAGTTCTGTGGCATGCTCCTTCCTTCCCTCTCCACATTTAATGCTGTCTTAATGCCCATTATTATTTTGAAGTGGAAGAGCTTGAACAACTATTTCTTCCAGGAGCCTAAAAGAATTTTTAGGACCAATGTTCAAGAGCAAAATGGAAAAGACTCTCAGTTCAAAATCCATCCCTAGAAAAGCTGAGCTGCTTTATTTACTTGTYCAATCATTTGTATGAAAATTTACTGAACAGTCTAAATGAAGGAAAGAAAGGCCAGAATGTTCAAATCAAGACACATTAATTTAACTGGAGGCTCTCCTCTCTCTGCCTTAGGCTCCTCTAGCTAATGACTGCCACCCACAGCACCACAGATGAATTTCCCGATAAAGGATTTGGAGCCTCTAATTCTGACCACTTTGAACATTACTCKAACTTTGAAGAAGACCAACTGCCTGGCCAGTGATTTCACCATGTGCAAACCTTTCTGTTGAGAGTTCCACACCCAGAAAGGAGAAGGAAAGAAAAAACCCACAACTTATTATTAATYCCAAAATTGACTGCTTAGCAAAGGTCCCCACCCTGTGGCCAACTTTGTAGATGCAACTCAGACTTGATCACAWCCAGGATCCTGTCACTTGCTGCATCTATTATTCAGGGCCTGAATTGCCGCACACACAGGCGAGCTATTGTGTAGTGTTCTAGTAGAAATACMAGATGAATGTTAAAATTACTTCCCACGGATAAACAAACTACCATAAAATATACACAAGGAGAAACTTTTCACTATCGATTTCTCATCTAGTACAAAGATTGTGTTGCAGATACATTTACTATAGCTTATTTAAAAAYTGGATTAAATTAAGAGACAGGATCTAGACAGACACTTAATACCAGTAGCAGAACCTAAARCATTTTTAGAGTTTAAGAATATTTTAAATGGCACAAGAACATTCCAACTGCTTTTTTTTTTGAGCAGGCACAAAAGGTTAAGACACAGCTTAAGCATAAAATGYATCAGTATGCCAGTTTAAAAATCAGTTTAAATCAGTTTAAAAATCATCACAGAAAAAGGTTCCACAGGTAATACAGGATAAATGTTTTTCAGACAACTAAATATATATTGCACATTATGAAAATAGAAAAGATGCTGCAGGGGTGGATTACCACACTTGGTGTGTGTGTTCATGGATATTTTCAGTTTCTCATCCAGGCACTCACTCAGTATTTAGGTTAGAGATGTCTCTCCACATTCACAATCTTCTGGTCTTGGAAYTTGGGGTGACAGTAGGACATAGCTTGCCATTTGGACTAGTTAATGCCTATGAACCCATCACTGTATATTGTGYAGTATTAGCACCACACAAACCAGAGAGAAAAGCCTCTGCAGGATAAACTGAAAATATTCAGAAGTGAAGGCTATTGATACAGCAATGAAAAGACAATTTTTATTATGAAATTAAATTACAGAGTCCTTAAAAAGAATGCATTAGGTTAATATGAAAGCATATCAAATTTTAATAATCTGTTTCCAAAGCAATTAGTTGACAAAACAGCAAACTTCTCACTGTCACAAGTGGCTCCCATTCACCAGCCCCACTCTTAGCTACCCACATAGTTTTTCCTCTTGGCAAATAAAGAAACAAAGGACAATTTCACCCACAAGTTTCTCACCGGGTGATCAGCGTTCATGCTGTATAATCTGACAGATCTCCTGACTAGGTCAGCAAGTGCACAGCACCACACACACAACTCTTTACCTTTACTTTGATATGTTACTCTTTAAGGAACACTACTTTGGAAAGAAAAGTAAGTCCCTTTCCCCACTTGAAGCCAGATACGCAATACTATAAGAACAAGAGTAGATAGGCAGCATTTGCCAGGTAGAGCATTTCTTACTGCTTGCTTTCAGTACTGTTAAGGAGAAAATAACCAGGAAGGAGACACAGGAAAATGAAAACTTCATATCTGGAAAAAAAGTTTTCCCCTACAGCGCAGCACGGAGAATTCTGTATTAGTTTAGCCTATATGTTCCAGATTTCATTCTGGTATCACCGGGACAAGTCATATGTTTAAACAATAAAAAGATAGRTCTGTTGGCACTGATTTAGTCCACACTTAACAGTAAAGAAAAAAAAGTTATCTGAAGTACCAATGTTTCACAGTATCTAGTCCATGGTTCTCTTCACATATCCTTTGATTATGCAGAGAAACTTCTTTACTGACTTCAAATGACAAGTTCTGCACTTTAGTGTAGCCCCTGCAACAAACAAAACAGGCTAAATCAGTTACAGCGGAGGATCATAACTCCCGCTTATCCAACACAAGCCGCGTACCTGGAGATTCACAAGATTYTCCTACTCTACAGCTACCAGAAGAAAAATATAAATTTAGTATTTGCTTCTCACTGGCAAGAGTTTGTAGAAGAGGAAGCTTGTGGAACAGGCAGATTTGGGCCTGGGTTCAGGGTCTCAACATCCGAAGATTTTAGTTGCAGCCCCTCTTCCACGAAGGGAGGAAAGGGAATTTATATTATACTTCTCATGCCGTCAGTGATATTCCATATTCAGAGAAATCAGCTTTTTCTGTCTGTACCTGCTCACAGAGTGCCCAATAAAGAGGGAAAGTGCATGATATAATGGAGAAAACCAAACAAAAACAAAGCTGCAGTTACTCTTGTACAATTATTCCTTAAGACTGAAKGCTTCCAAATCACTGCCCTGTCTCCTGGACTTCTTTGCTCTCTTGCAAATTTGCATTTTGCTAGGGCTGCTCTTGCTCACCAAAACTCAACAAAAGCAGAGACACGGTGCTAAATTAAGTTACTTAACACACACAAACAGGAAAAAAATCCAAACATTTGTGTGAGGTAGCAGAAGAAAGCTGCCTGCTACACACAGAATTAAAACTTAGCCCTAACAAGTATTTCAGTTATTCCCCCAGCATACATACTGAATTCTAAAGTTGCGATCTGTAGGTTTACTCTAAATTTTAAATTGGAGAGCCTTTTCCCCCATTTTTTGTAAATACCTTTGTAGCTCTTTATCCAGTTCCTCAAGGACTTTTTTAAACTCTTTCAGATCAGTGCATGCTTCTGCATTTTCTTCTGCACAGGCAGGTGCAATGTCTGCCAGAAGTTCCTGTGTGACAGTTAAATGCTTTTGCAGTTTATCTACAATATAGAACATATTTAAAACATTACTCAAATGCACAGCTGTATCAATTAATGCAAGATTATTGAACCAGTTGAATAACGGGAGTAGCTGAAACAAGCTAACCAAAATTCAGATACTGAAAAAACCACTGCTTGGCTCACCACTAACAAATATATTATATGTATATATATATATATATATATATATATGGAAGCCAAGTTATTTGAGTTAGGAAAACTAACTGCAGCAGGAGGGTGTTAAGATCATATCAAAACATGTGGCTATTGCTGTTGCGTGCAAAAAGAGCACACAAAGATGAATTCAGTGGTTATAAATAAATCCAGCACCAATGTAAGAACTTCAGTATACTAAAAAAAAAAACACAATTGTGAAAGTAAATTTGAAAATTAAAGTTTTCCTACCCAGATATGTTAGTGTATCTCCTTCTATGTGTATATTCTTCACTGGTAATTCATGTCTAGTGGCATCAAGGGAAGTTGCAAAGGTTTTATATTGCTCTTTAAACTTTTCACAAACAGTAACAAGGGGAGTGAGTAGTTCCATCTGCAGGGCACACAAGATGAACCATCACTTCATAACAACAAAGCCATTTTAGTAATACACTTAAGAATTCACATCCCTATAGCCGAGAGTCAAGACCGGCTCAACACAGAAAATAACAACGAAGTAGCACAGAACAATTCAGGACAGTTATAGTATGTTAKTGCTATTCTACTGTTTAATAGGTTTTCTTCTATCACCCCAAAATATCAAAGTCAATGCCACTTCCTTGTAGCTCACAAGCCTTAGAAACTTAGAGCCAAAATATTTTGCCTGATATTTGGACTCAGGTACAATGTATTCTCACACACCCTCCCCCTCAAAACACAGAAAATCTTCATTGTTTAATTCTTGCAAGTYACATATCTGTAAATCTGTAATGCATCTCTCAAAGGTAAGCAAAATCTTAAATATATCATAAAAGTAAACAAAAGTTTAGCTTTTAAAATTACTCCAGCAAATCTATCTTTTGATACAATAAAGGTAACAAAACACTGAAAAAGAGTGGAAGGTTTAGCTTCTAAAATTATTAATAACATTTTAAGAAATTTGTCTTACAGTCAGGCTAGAATCACTCATTTATACCTTCTGCCCTTTTTAAGGCTAGCATGTCAGCTCTAGCCATGACAATCATAATTGCATAACTGCAGGAAGTTCATGTGGTTTTAAGCCACTTACATCTCTTCTGCAACAACCCTAAGCTGCTCTGGCAATTGGTGCACTATTGCCCCCCCCGTTGCCTAACAGCTCAAGCTTCTCCTTCCTGCCTATCCACAAGGGACAGCRGAATGAAGTGACAGAGGCATTTGCTTAGGTTACTAGAGAGCATAACGTCACAACAGGAAGTAGGTATTTAGAGCTGCATTAAATTCTATACCAACAGGCCACAGAAGCACGACTTCGTAACAGAAGTTGTCTAAATGTAGGACAAGCACAACTAGTAATRAAGCCTACCTGTTTATCTAATGCATCTTCCAGAGCCTGTTCATGCTCTTCAAGCTGCAATTCATGCTTCAGCTCACAGAGCTTCTCTTGCAGCCTCTCCTTTTCTTCACACAGCATTAGCAAGTTTTCTTCTGCATCTTCCTCCAGCTTGGCAAGATTTCTTTCTGTCTATTAAATCCGAAACTATTCATAACTAAAATTATGATACACCTGAAGTAACTAGCATTCTGAAGCAGAACATGAAAACCTCATTCAAGTTCAAATAGCCACAGTTACGAGGTTAGAGACCTCATGCAATACACACAGTACCTTCCCGTTACAGACACTCCATCTTCCCCTGCCCCACCACTCCCAATTCCTGCCAATACTTTTTGTAAAGTTATCCAAACTCAGCACTAAGTAATGGCTACATCCTTGAAATACAAACATTCCCTCCAGCTTTCCCAAAACTTTTGCACTCAAGCAAGCTGTATAGTTCCACAGTCATAAATATATATTAAGTCATAAAAATCTAACTCAAGGATCAGAAAGCATGGAAGAGCTCAATATGAAAGAGTTGCCTAGCTTCTTTTCTGTCTAAAGTACAAAATASTTGAGTGACTCTCACCTTTACTCTTAAGTAAGTTAAAAGCAGTGTCTGAGATGCTTGCCATCCCTCCAGATTATCAGAACCTTTTTTCTTAAAAAAAAAAGAAAAAGCCCGATTTCAGTATTAAACCAGCCATTTTTCAGCATTCAGACAAGTTATCGGTAATCTGATTTCTGTCCAGAATCAGCATTATTGTCAACAATTGTCAGTTGTGTAAAGAAACTTTGTTTTTAGAGAGTGCATATTAACTAAAAACATCTAAACAACTTACTTATTCATTGTTCCACCATTTTTTATGCAGATGCAATGTTTTATGCAGATGAACTTCAAGTTTCAATGTTATTTTGAATGCATTGTTACAAAACACTTCAGAGTCTAGTTGAATCAGTGTTAATTTTCTGGTAAGAAATAAGCCCTTTAAAGTTAATAGGTTATTGTTAAAGAGTATGGACAGAAACACAAGAAGAACCAACTCAAACAATGCTTCAACCAGAGTGGACTATCATAAGAGGTGGAAGCAAAACTTCAATCTCTGAGATTTAGATTCTACTGGGAGAAGAACATGCCCACCATTTGGCTTTTGCCAAAATGCTTTAAGCCATCTTGAAAACCTCAGCTTTTGTTACCAAAATAAAGAGAAAATATTCATCTGGCATATTTCAAAATAAAGCAGTGAAACTCACCACACGCTGCTTTTTCTCACGTGTCCCTGTATCTGTTTTGCAAACAGACTTCGAACTAGAAGTCTTTTTAAGGAGACTTTTGCCTGAATCAAAATAGGAGACATTATTACTCCTTGTTTTCCAGAAATACACAAGGTCAAACATGCTATCAACTTCAAACTCAGAAGGGACTACTGAAATTATTATGTTTCAGTAGTATACTTATGCTCCATTTCTGGCTCTGATTATACTCATGAGAAGATGTGGCTCATAAGAACATTTTATATTGATATTCAACTTTATGTTACAGTCACAGATAGATGTGGCACAGTTTCCAGAAGGGTGGAAAAAAACYCTATCTGTTGCAGAAACAAGGATTTGAGGAAGCTTTCCCCTTTAATATTGCATCTCAAAAAGGAAAGAGTACCCAGAAGATTTTCAAAATCAAGAGAATGATGCATAAGTGTTACTTAAAATGAAGTTATACTAAAAAAAAAAAAAAAGTAAAACAAAGTGAATTTGAGTGGCACTTGCCATTAATAGCTGAAAGATCAAGGTCAGGTCGAGTAACTTTATCTTCATCTAATAAAGTGGATTGTAAGTCACCTTTCCCCACACTGCTCTGATTTAATGAATGAGGGGTACCACCTGTAGAAAGAAACTGTTATCAGACAAAAATAACTAGAACAGATTATGCACAAGTTTAAAGTTGCACATTCTTTCACTAACATGTAGTAACCTCAGAATAACTTTTCCACACTTATATACACCCTTTGCGGAGTTCATAGTTTAAAACAGCTCAGAACTTATCCTCAAATATTTCACACTTAGCAACAGAACTTAAATGTGAAGAGCAAATCATGACTTTCATGTTAAGGTCTCACTAGAACATTACATGTTGAGGAACTTGCTTTACACTAGGTTTAATCTTAAAGATTAAAGCAAAACCCAGGGCAACGGTGAGGCCATAGTGAAAGGATAGTTCAAAGTTTTGCAGACAAAGCAAGGGATATACATATTTTAGAAGACATACTACTCAATTACTCAATTCTAGATTACTTTTGTGTGAGAAAGTCAAGATAAGAGCTTAATGCACTTCAGTTTACATGCCCTAAACCCACATCAACTTCCTGTATCTTAATTCTCCTTACACACACAATTAGTGCTGTAAAAGTAATATGAAATATAATCTCTTCAAGACATCTTTTTGAGTTAAGAGCTCCACAGGTGGGAAACAAACATCCTCAAAGAACATCATCTAAACCTATCTGCAAAACCTACCAGAAGTTTTGCTTTTCTGAGGAAGAACTGTTTTCCTTTGTTGGCTCCCTCCTTTTTCAGACGGTTTAGCAGTGGAAGTTGTAGAAGAATTTGCTGAACTATCCTGACAATCAAGAAACAAATAAGTCTAAACACAAGCAGCAGTCACGAGTTGACATTATGTTGCTATAATAATGACAGATAAACAATTACTATCTCAAGGTAACTTGGTGCTCTGCAAAGCAGCTGAGCACAGTCTTAAGGTCCTCTCCTCCCCAACTTTATTTCCCAAAGATAAAAAAAAAAAACAGCTCCCCCACACCCTTAACAGAGCTGTTCTATTTAAAACCCCCTTTCCAGAACACAAACCTCCACCTTGGACCATTCCCAGCCACCAACAAGAGGCCACAGCAAGGCACTCAAATACCTTTTTGTTTTCTTTCTTGTCGTATTGCAGGTAGCGGGACTTGACGATCCTCCCTCCTACAAGAGAGRAGGGGAGCGTGTGGGGAAGCCAGGGAGGCCGCCTCAGCCGCCCGCCTTCCCGCCTCAGCCCGCGCCTACCTCTGCGTTTCTTCCCCGCCGCCTCCCCGCCCGCCGCGCCGACAGAGCTCTCCTCCAACGCCGACACCCTACAGAAACAGAGCGGGAGATGAAGCGGCCACCGCGGAAGAAGAGCTGAAAGCGCCACCTCGGGCTCGACTCCCTGCCCTCACCCGCCGGCCGCCTCATCCGCCATCGCTTTCGAAGAGCCCGCGCAGGCGCGGCCCCGCCCCGCAGCCCCGCCCCCGCGGCGGGAAGCGCGCGCGCCCCCTACCGGCGCGGCGCCGCCCCGCGCTACCGCGACGGACGGGCCGAGACGGGCGCCTCGAGCCCGCCCGGGGCCGGGCCGGCGGAGCGGGCTGCAGAACCGCCCTCCACCATAGCAGCCCAGTGTCTGTTGCCTTTGCACCGGCCTCCGGCGGGAGCCAACGGCGCTTAGCGGGAACCGAGGCCGGTAAATGTCCCGGCTGTACTGGGGGCCTCRCTGCAGCCCCCGCACCTCAGCGAAGAGCTCCTTAAGCCCTGACAGAAGCCCCCGCTTGGCGCTGTAGAACCCAGCGGGCTCCCAAGCCCCGCGCGGTGCGGCCGGGCAGGGGAGCGAGGCCGCGCACGTCCCGCCACGGCCGCCGCTTCGCGCCTCGCGGCCGCGCGCAACGGAGAGGGGAGGGGAGCGCTGCGCGCATGCGCCGCGCGCGCACCGCGCTGAATGGGCCGCCGCCCTGCCTTCTTCCCCCCTCCTTACCCGGAAGTGGCGCCTCGGCGGGGCCTGTGGCGGGTGGCGGCGCCGCTTCCCCGCGCTTCCTCCCG